GTAAGATCATGGTCTGCGTCAAGCTCTGCATCTCTGTCATTGTTTTCGCCTGCCCCTGTGCTCTCGGCTTGGCTACTCCCACCGCCGTAATGGTTGGCACCGGTATTGGTGCCGAGAACGGTATCCTCGTGAAGGGTGGAGCTGCTCTGGAGACAACGACTAGAATTACCCAGATCGTTCTGGACAAGACTGGTACAATTACCTACGGCAAGATGAGCGTAGCCAAGATGAGCCTCATCTCGTCCTGGCAAGACAACGAGTGGCGCCGCCGACTCTGGTGGCATATTGTCGGCCTCGCTGAGATGGGCAGTGAACACCCTGTCGGAAGAGCTGTTCTTAATGCTGCAAAGACTGAGCTCGGCCTAGACGAAGAGGCTACTGTTGACGGCAGCGTTGGCGAATTCAAGGCAGCGGTTGGAAAAGGTATCAACGCGCTTGTCGAACCCGCCGTCAGCAACGAACGTACCCGATACCGCGTTCTCCTCGGCAATGTTCGTTTCCTCCGCGAGAACAACGTCGATGTCCCGGCCGAAGCTGTCGAGGCGTCTGAGCAGCTCAACGCGAAGGCCAACTCCAGCTCGAAGAACACCTCTGCCGGCACCACCAACATCTTTGTTGCCATCGACGGCCAGTACACAGGTCACCTCTGCCTCGCTGATACAATCAAGGAGGGTGCGGCTGCTGCTATTGCTGTCCTCCACCGGATGAAGATCAAGACCGCCATCGTCACGGGCGACCAGCGTTCCACTGCTGTCGCCGTGGCTGCAGCCGTCGGCATTTCCCCCGACAACGTGTTCGCTGGCGTATCCCCCGACCAGAAACAGGCCATTGTCCAGCAGCTCCAGGATCAGGGCGAAGTCGTCGGCATGGTCGGCGACGGTATCAACGATTCCCCTGCCCTCGCAACCGCTGACGTCGGTATTGCCATGGCCAGCGGCACAGACGTCGCCATGGAGGCGGCCGACGTCGTCCTCATGCGTCCCACCGACTTAATGGACATTCCCGCCGCGCTCCACCTCGCCCGCTCCATCTTCAACCGCATCAAGCTCAACCTAGCCTGGGCCTGCTTGTACAACGCCATCGGTCTCCCCTTCGCCATGGGCGTCTTCCTACCCTTTGGCTTCCACCTCCACCCGATGGCCGCCGGCGCCGCCATGGCCTGCAGCAGTGTCAGCGTCGTCGTCAGCAGTCTCCTGCTCAAGTTCTGGACGCGCCCGAGCTACATGATCGACCCCTCTGCCCAGACCAAGAGACGCGGCTTCGGCATCTTGAGTAGAGTCAAGTACGTCGTGCGCAGACTCAGAGGCAAGCGGACGCAGGATCAGGGTTACGTTCCTCTGGCCAACATGGCGGATCGAGACGAGTAGAGAGATCACTTAGTCGTCAATTTTGTGTTGTTTTTGTGGATACTTGTATAGAATCAGGGGGGCAAGCCTCCGTTCGAGGTGGAACTGGTCCAATGATGCCAACCCCCTCTTCTCACTAGAGAAAGAAGATATAGTTTTACCTGGCGTATAAGCCGGACGGTTCCTTATGTTCTTCAATCCGTCCTCCGTTTTAGTAGCATAGCAATGGAGTCAAACGGGTTATTAACCCCTATTTCAAAACGATCAAGCATAATAATCGTGATCGTGTTACATTGTTGTATTCTATGTTTCCAGGCTTCCCCTTTGAAGATACTCGATTGTACAGAATGAAAAGCTACAAGAAAGAACCATCACGTCCGATATTATTAGTCCGCTGTGGCATTGCAATATCAGGAAACTCATCTCAGAGAACCACGGTAAAGAGAAGAAGAGGTGTTTCCGCTAACGCCACGCTATGCAACAAATAATGTCAACAATGATACACAAAAATTGATATCGCACAAGTGAGAACCCCGTCACCGATTCCACCATTCTAGACACCAGCAAAAGTCTTGCCGATAATCTGGCTCCCCACAACCTCAGTTGAGCGCTGCGCCTCCTCCTCTTCACTCAGCATCCGACTCCACAGCCTCAGCTCGTCGACGCTCACGTTCCTCTTCTCGAGCTCCCACTTGACGCTCCCAGGTAAAGATGACGAGGAGGACCCGCCGCCACCAATCAACGGCACGGCATCGCCACCAACCTCTCCGGGACCCTTGCCGTTATTTTTGGACAAGATGCCGAAACGCAGGCCGACCTCGGTGACGGTGACGAGGATGGAGATTACAATGAGGACGATGATGATCCAGGTGATGTAGCTCATCTTTGCGTCGGCGACCGAGTCGGACAAGATCTCGGCGAGGTCGAGGAAGACGCGGCAGCGCTCGTTGAGGACCTTGATGCGCGGGTCGATTTCGAGGTACTCCCGGATGGCGACGTACAAGGGGTGGAGGGTGGGTTCCGAGTCCCAGAAGAAGTTGGGGACGTCGAGGATGTTGGATGCTGGTGAGGTTTGTTAGACGGGGGGTTTCGTGGTTACAGGACGACGATTGTTTCCGAGTATGTCACAAGCAGGAAACAGAGGTAGGGACGGGCGTAGGGTGGCTTACAAAGGTTGATGTCGACACGGCTCTTGAATAACCGGCCTAGGATCTTGACAATTTCCGTTCTCGTCATGTTCAGCTCGCCCGTGAGTGCTAGCCTCTTGGGAACGTGCTGCGCATCCAGCATCGTCTCGCTCATGCGCTCCTCAAACAAACATAACTTTGTGCTCTGCGCGATGGCGTGACTGATGGTCAACTTCACCATGTGGTCGCTGCGCGGCAGCAGGGTAATCATGTCGTTGAAGATGCGAGGCCGCTTCACGTCGTGGCTGTACTCAAAGTGGAATTCCTCCGTCTCAAAGTCCTCCTCGTCCAGCGGGCGGGTGAGCAGAGAAAGTCCCGCCTCGTTCTGGGCAAAGGTCAGGTCCGCGAGGATGTCCTTCTCCTGATGCTCTGTGAAATTCCAAAAGACGACGACGCCGTATGAGAAGAGGAACATCTCGGCAAAGGCCTTTGCATCTGGGATCCGCGCCATCGGGGATAGGTTGGGGTCGTCGGGGGATTGCTCGCGGTGATTGCGTTGGGAGGACTCGTCACCGAATCCGTTATTGCCGTTCATGGGACTCCCGTGGACGGGGCTGCCATTGTATCCGTCTTCAAAGTACCCCTCGTGATAGTCGCGCTGCTCGCTTCGCTCAATCTCCATATCTAGCACCGTCTTGCCGCTTCCGGGGGTCTTGACGATCGGCCGGCTGCGAAGGCGGTAGCCCTCTGTACCATTTAGGAGAGGCAACGAGTACACGACGTACAGGCAGTCGTCGTAGAGCTTCGTCTTTGCGTCATGCTTGGTTCGTAGAAAGTCGGCCGTCGATTTCATCTTGTACGATTGCGCCGTACAGTACGCGGTCAGCCTAGCCAGCTTTTCCTTGCGCTGGACCTTGGGGAGACGCTCCGCGTAGCTCTTGCCACGAATACCGCCTCTCTTACGCAGCACGTCAAGCTCCTCGTCGCGTAGCGGCCTGTTCTCTTCCATCTCAATCTCCTTTGCCATCTTGGTTGCTTCCTCGTCCAGGTCCTCGTCCGAGCCTGGCTTCTCGTCCGTTTCGGGCAACAGCACGAGCTTCTCGCTGATCTTGGTTGTGCGCGACGGCATGTTCTGGCCGCCCGTCCTAGACTGTAGATTGGGCAGCCCTGTGCTGGGGCGTCGAGCGCTTGCAAGGCCATTTCCAGGCCGCTGTGGCGGAGGTTGTGGTTGAGACTGGGGTTGAGGCTGGGGTTGGTTCTGCGGTGGTTGTACTCGAGGCTGGCCGGAGGGGATGTCGTAGGCGTGCTGGAGGACGTTGTCGACGGAGATGAAGCGCATCGCAGGTCGAGCGGGAACGTTTCCGATGCCGGTATCCTGACGTTGGAGGGAACCCCTTGGAGGTGGAGGTCGTTCTCGCGAGTCGGTCACCTACAGTAGGCTCGCATTAGCATTTCACGTAGACTTGATTATGGAGACGGGGTTGCGACGGACCAGCACCGACGGGCCTCGTTTGACGGGCGCCATTCCTGCGATTGTCTCGGGTGTTGTTGGAATTGAATGATTAGAGAAAACGGTGTCTCTATCGCACAAAGGGTGCAGATATCATCGAACAGAGGTTGCGATCAGAGATGTCTGGGGGTCAAAGGCACCAAGTCTCATTGGGTGGTTGTCCGCGTGGTCTCGACATGACGGAAGCAGCTCAGGAAACTTCAGAGCGCTTGCACCGCCACAGTTCCACTTGTGGCTGCGTACATGTAGATACGTCATACCTCCTCTGTGGCTCGTTCAATCAACACCAAGACCTCGTTCTCACGATGATCCAGCTTCTGAGTATTCGGCAAGTAAAATGAAATGGAAACAAAATAAGTATAATAGAAATTTCTACAAATTCAAAAGCTTAGCCGCCCTCACGGGCGGCCTACGAAAATCCTCAGAGACTCTTACCAGCCTCAGTTGTAACGATGTAAGGATTTTGCACGAGACTCGAACTCGCGACCTATGAGTGCGGGACAATTCAAACGGGGACATTTCCCGCTACTTCATAGGCCTGATGATACAATTACATCTCGTTGTTCATTATAAAGGTGTCGAGGGCGGGTGATGTGCGTGAACCTGGATGAGCTGGTGGCTTATTCGCGAAGTTCAGTTGAATACACGTTGGGTATTTGTAGGTCTGCCTAGCGGGTTTTCTCCAAATGCGTATCTTCGTTGACGATCGAGGGCTCTATATATCTCGGTGGTATCTGATTCTATACGACCAACAGGCTCACAAACCAAGAAAGTTAGTAGATCTTGAACAAAGGTTTGCTTTGTTGGATCGCTTGAGGGGAATGATTGTTGCCGCGATAAAATCCAAAAGTTAAATACTACCAAACAACACAACAACAATATGATTCAAGTCAATCTCACTGAGTTTGGCTCTTCATAGCAATAGGTATACCTCTGAACAACGATCGTAAGTCATAAGTCCCTCTGGATCCGTGTATCCATCCGTCCAAGTTACACATAGGAAATTTCATGATGAATTTACCCCCCTCTGGCAATGATCCCATTCAATAACCGGTCATCTTGTGTTCTCCGCTCATGTGTAAGAACTAAACCCTCTGATGCGACTGCCACAGCCCACAACAGCGCCAGTCCCGCGCTGACAATGACCAGGATTTGCTCATTCTCGTCGAGGGAGGTCTCTGTCAATATACTCGACGCCTGCGATAATTGGACGATGAAGAGTGCAACCCACGAGCTTGAGACGATGTAGTGTAAGTTCTCGGTCTAGGGAATACTGGGTCAGCTTACTTCACCCGTGTATCAACCGAGGTAGCTCAAAGGTATACGGGCACGAGGAGAATGAGAGCGCAAGACGTACCTCAACCTCCTCCAACACCTTCTCCCAGAACTTACTAACCCTCTTCTCGCCTCTATTCCGCCGAATGATACCCTCGATACGTTGCATAGGTAGACAGACAACCAACTCCCCATAGCCCCTTGCTAGAGCGTCTGCAAGCTCCACCAGCCTCTCACCCCTCTCGCGTTCCCGCCCCTCCATCTCGTCGAGACTTGACCGAGTTTCATGAGCCAGGCCAAGATAGAGGGCAGGCAGCTCGCTAAAGTGACCCAACACGGTCCTCGCTGTGGGCGGCTGACGCATAGGCAGGCGATTATACAGGTACCGGTTCTCCGCTGGGGTAAAAGACCTGCCCAACAGAACGGCTGCGGCAAGACCACGTTGAGAGGGGTCAGAATGCGTAACTTGATTGGGTTCTGTATGGTAGTCTTGTCCTGGTTGGGGAAGGTAGTCATCCAATGTTAACTAAGGAACTTTTGCAGTAACAGGAGCCTCCTACGAGACATAGAACCGGAGTAGCCGTCTCACCGGCCCCCAAAGGATTTCCACATGAACAGACAGAGAAAGAGAGAAGGAGAGAAGGAGGCATACCTTGCTGCGCCTGTTCGGCAACACCGTCAGGAAAGATGGGGGCCACCAGACGCTGAGGCTGTCCTCGGCCACCCCGCGTGTGCCGTTGGTCTCGCTGTCTATGCGACATGATGCAATATGGGCTGATGTAACGATTCGAGAAGCGATCCGATACGACGGCGCTGTACGAACTTTCGAAATGAGACATTGCGGCACGGTCGAACTTTGAGCGACTCTTTTGTTCGATATAAGAGAAGCTTGTGTACGGATGTCGTTTCTTGTTGTTCGGCAAGGGATGTCGTTCCAGCAACAGATTACAAACCTAAAGGATGCCAAATCTGGATATCTTGCGTATATTGGAGATGGATCGCAACCACGGGTTGGGAGAAACCCGCCCCGGAAGACTACGTGAAGGACGATATGAAGTGGAATCACGGCCAGGAGAGCCCCGACCTTGGGAGATTGATGACGGGAGTAGACTGAAATCGCGGATGCCCAGAAGAATCCCGCCCGGGAGTCCTGAAGAAGAGAAGAAGGTGAACCAAAATCACGGACGTTCACTGACAATACCGCCGCGCTCTTGGCGAAAGGACTTCCTGCTTCCTCCCAGGAGGAAATGATGACAAGCCAGAACGTAGAGTTGGCAGAAAGGAATCCTCAGCAGCTCACAGCCCTCCAGGTACGTGGCGAAATGCAAAACCCCAAGCCTCATCGTGGAAACACCAGAAAATTCAATTGTCGTTTACGCGTGTCGAAGGACCCCTCCCCAAACGCCTAGCCAGCATGGTATCTTGCCTAGAATCACACACGCAAAAAGAACACAAACACTAGTCTGTACTCATCCACTCCTGCAGATGGCAAGACTTGAGAAGGACGGAAGGAGAGAGAGACCGGCGACAAGCCTTTCCCTCAGCAAAAAGCCCCAAGTCCGTTCGTCATCGCCAGTTCCTCCGGCCTTCGTCCTGCTTCTCTCCACGATACCCGAAATCCGCTTCTTCCCAAGTCCGCTATCCTCGCGTCGTCGCGCCTTGCCCGCACTTGGACTTGGTGAAAGGACCTCCAATGGGTGAGAGTCAGGTGACCGCTCTCATCGGTACTGAGGCGGAGCTTGGCCCCAACCCTGGGGAGGCTGACCATGCACTTGCGGGGGCGGCATTTGACCTCCGCCCTTCATGGCCGTGACGTCGGGGCGATTCTCAAGCGGCTGGGCAAAGTTGCAAATGTGGCAGACAACATCGGTGTAGCCCTTGAAGGACAGGGGTATAACGGGCTAGAATTGGTAGGTTAGCTTTGAATATCCCATCTTTAGTCTCACAAAGGTAGGCCAGTGACATGGAACGAGAATTCGACAAGGGCTTGAATGAGAGGTACACATAAGAAGGCTCATAAAGAGACGGAAAGAGCACGAATGAATGTGCACAAAGACTCACAATCCAGCAGAATGTGAACCAAGGGTGGCTCTTGATGACATGGCCGGACATGTTACCGCAGTTGTAACACTGGCAGACCATACCCTCGTAGCCCTCGACAGGCTTACGGAAGGTGTGCTCTCCGCACACGAAGAAGAAGAACATTGCGGCGATTGATCAGACGTATGCACGCTCAGTTTCTGTAGCTGCAGGTCGGGAAGCAGCAGTGGCGGGCGGCGGCTGGGTTTGGGCGACTTTTCCGTCGGATGATGGCGGTAAGACTTCCTCCGCCCCGGCGTATCGCGCTCAGGTGGGCTAGTAGCGAAATTCGGAGGAGCGAGACAGAGAAAGCTCTGTAGATCTGTCGGCCAGTGTTTCCTCGAGCTGCGCAGCCTGGGTAAGCGACGACTTTGTGGGACGTCGGAGGTTGCGCCAGGAGTTGAAGGAAGAAAGGACCGTTGGACGCGGAAGGAACAGTTGACGTTGGCGGAGGAGTGGATGTCCTTAAACGGAAGAAAAGGGCAGGCCACTCATACCTTGAGGTACCTTAAGGCAATAAATGTAGGTAAGCAACCCAATCCAATGAGCGCGAGAGAGCTACGTTAAGCTGTGATGTATCCTGGGCTAGCCTCTGGCTTTGCTTGCCGAGATGCAGGAATCCCAATTTCTGATAGGTTCCCGACAAACCAACAAGAACCAGAAGGCAAAAGGTTTAGAAGGTGGCCCAAGCTTAAGAGGGATTTTGATTGACGGCTGGCGGGTGATGAGAGCAAATGAGGGACGAACGACGTTCTTGCTAGCTTTGGTGTCACGGGTGTGTGCCAGTCTTGCGTGTCCCCTCGAGGCGGTGCATCCTTGGCGATCCGGCCAGTAGACTCGGGCTTGTTGACATTCTACCGACATTCACCCATATCTCCCTGAACGAACCTTTGAGCCGTGGGAGAGTTACGGATGAGGTAGTTCAGAACTCCAGAGACCTTGTTCCCGAGACACATACTCAGGGGAACTATGGGGTGCATGACAGGAGACCCGTCGTCCGTCTGATACCTCGGCGACTGCAGCAACGCTTCTCAATTCCCTTTATGCCCTTTAATGCAGTTCGTTCGGGTAATTTTCTCGCGTGGAATGGAGCTTCATGCTCCCAAAGTTGCGAGGTTCCTCCCCGTTTGGCACCTCTCAGCTGCCCTTTTCAGCCCATTCTCCTGGCGGGCTGAAAAGTCTAGGATCATCCGTGGATGCCGCTGCAGTCTAGGTTTTTTGCTGGCGACCAAAAGGGGGAAGGGGAAAGCTCACTGCGCCATTCCATTATTACGTGGAAACTGTGTTATCTGCCATGGGCAACTCTATTTACTGCAGTTGAACGCAAACCTTGACAGTTGCCATCACCAGTACCGTCCATCAGGGCTCTCTTAGAAAGAAACCTAGAGGACAGGAGGCTACAGCTGCGAAGGAGGCAGCCTGCCAAACCAACGAGGGCGATCTTCTTACAGGGCATGTCATCGCCTCCACTCTAGTCCGATGTTTCCGCACCCCGTTCTTCCCGCCGTTACCTCCGGCCAAAAAGCGCCCGACCGTCAGTGACACCTCAGTTGGTGGCTTGAAGTGGGAAAAGGTCACCTAAAAGGCTAAGGTAAGCAAAGATGTGTCTAGCGCCATGCAAGCCACTTTAGGCCCCACGTTCCTTAAAGTCAACCTACACAGTAACCTTTCTGCCTGTGTGGGTGCGTCATCCCAGCACCAGAACCGAACCCCGCGGAACCAACCTAACACCGACCTCCGTCTTCAGTCCAAAAAATTTCGGCGACGCGCCGTACCACGAGAGTCAACCTCGAAGCCAAGAAGGTTGCGACATCAATTCGACCAGCAGCAACGTCGTGAGGTCGATCTCTCTGCTCTAACCCCCGATTGATCACTACGATATCATATCAAGCAAGATACTGTGCACGAAATCGGCGCCGAGCCCAGGACAAACACCGGATCACACCAAGAAACCAGTCACCGCAAGCTCCTATGCGCCAAACCCCACGATAGCTTCATCGAAATTCTCCCAACCAACCCAAAATGCTCTACGACCTCAACATCCCGTGGTCCCCAACCACATCTCCCGCCGACCTCGCCCGCACAATCTCCTTCGCCTCCTCCCTAGGCTACACAGTCCTCGCCCTCAACCACACAATAACGCCCCCGATCCCTTCGCAAATCACAAACCCCCTACCAAAGTTCCCATCACACTCAGCAACAGTAACACCACCACCGCCAACAGGGACCCCATCACAACCCTCTCAACAACAACAACAAAACAAACAACCAACAATCCTCCACCGCGTAACAGTAACCCTCTCAGACCCCTCCCAAAACTACCGCCTCCCAACCCTCGCCCTAGCCTACGACATCCTCGCCGTCCGGCCCACCACGGAAAAGGCCTTCCAGGCAGCCTGCCTCTCCATGGCCGAGCCCTCCCTCATCTCCCTCGACCTGACGCAGCACTACCCCTTCCACTTCCGCCCGAAACCCCTCATGGCCGCCGTCGCCCGCGGCGTCAAGTTCGAAGTCTGCTACGCCCAGGTCCTCGCTTCTTCTTCGTCCACCTCTTCTTCCGCCTCTGGCGGAGGCATCGGCCCCCCGCCCGACGCGAGAGCCCGCGCGACGTTCATCTCGAACTTTGCCTCCCTCGTCCGCGCGACAAAGGGCCGCGGCATCGTCGTCTCCAGCGAGGCGCGCGGCGCGCTGGGGTTGAGGGCGCCCAACGACGTGGTCAACTTGCTCGCCGTGTGGGGTTTGGGCAGCGAAAGGGGCACCGAGGCGTTGGGGGTTAACCCGCGCGGCGTCGTGGTCAACGAAGGGCTCAAGAGGAGCGGATTCCGGGGCGTCGTGAACGTGCTCGAGGTCGGAGGGCGGGAGAGCGATGTGAAGAAGAATCAGCAGCAGGGGCAGGGGCAGCAGCAGGGGAAGAAGGGCAAGAAGCAACAAGGCGGCGGTGCAGGTGGTGGTGGTGGTGGAGGTGACAAGGGCAATGCGCAGAAGCGCAAGACGCCTGATGAGGGTGGTGATGGCGCGCAACCTACGGTCAGCAAGAGGCAGGCCAAGAAGTTGCGGTTAGCTCTCAAGGAACAGGAAAAGGAGGCTTCATAGATGCTTGGGTCAAGAACGGAAAGAAAAGAGGAACAGAAGAAAGGGGCGTAAGAATGGTATGGGTAGATATTGGGTTGGGCGGAAGTCATTTACGCTTTATGATACCCCTTAGAAGAGAGCATCATTAAACCTCTGTATACCTCTGTATCAGGATATCGATATTTTCCACAAGTTGATGACGGTGACGCTAGATTCACCAATGTAAAGAGCAGTCATTTATCCCTTACACAGCATAAGAGACGCGTTATGAAATTTGACCGTCTTCTTTCCAATGCAATCGTATATAGGTTTGGGGAAAGGGGTCTAGGTGGGTGCAAGTGTTTTGGTGTTGCCTTTTTGTTTTTCGATGTCTTCAAGAAATGAATTATGTACAACCGCGGGGGGGATATGTGTGTAAGTTGGCTCAACTTCTCCAACTCCCTCTCCATCTTCCCATTACACACGCCACACCATGTGGAAGCTTTCCAGAAAACGAACCTCATCGCACGCGCGCAGCAGGTCAAGACGTGTGGTCGTAATGAGAGTGAAGGGTGGGGTTTGTCTGACGCTGCCTCCTTTTTCCACCTTCCTCGCTCTCTCGTATATACCACCATGCCAAACCGAGACCTCTCCTTCCCCTATTTCACCATTAAAAACCCCTTCCTTTCCAACCAACTTCCCCCTCATTCCAAGAATCGAAAAATCTAGGGTATTTCGTATGCCGTTGCTGAACCACTTTCAAGTCGTCAACGACGTTGCCTAGGTACGTCTTATGCATACGCAGTATATGCAACTCAACCTCCCTCCCTGGCTACCACCTCACAGTCCGATTAAAACCCTTCCACAGCACTTGCATGTCGATCAGAGAGTTCGACGAGTAGTCGGTCCTTAAGCTGGGGGCGTCGCACGAGCCTGGAGCTGGGCAGTCGCCTGCAAGAGATTGCCGAGCTGAAGAGACCTTGTCAATGCAAGGCCGCTGACGGCGACCTGGGGTTGAGCGGGGTTCGCGGCGATCGGAGCGACGGGCGTTGCTGCAGCGGGCTGGTTGGCAGCGCCGTTGCCGTTGAGGCCGCCAAGGTTGACGGAGGCGGACGGCTTGCTGACAGCGGGCGCGTTGCCCACGAGGGGGGCAGCCGGGGGTTGAGGGGCAGCGGGAGCCGGAGCAGGTTCTATCCATGCATTGTCAGCCTATTCTCGAACCTGTCTTAGATCGTTCACTAGTAGAATGCCACTTACGAGCTGCTGCGGGAGGCGGGGTGGCCGCAGGAGCCGCCGCTGGGGGCGGGTTCGATTTCAAGCCAGCGAATGGATCTGTCGGAGGAGGTCCCGGAATGACCAGAGGCGCCTTCGATGCCGCAGGAGCAGCTGGCGGTGCTGCGGGGGCCGCGGGAGCTGCGGGAGCCGGAGCAGCAGGCTGGGCCGCAGGAGGAGCAGCTGGGGGAGCAGCCGGAGGCGGAGGCGGAGCAGCAGCGGGCGGCGTTTGCGTGACCAACTGCGTGATGATCTGTGGAGGCCTATATGATATGTTGGTCAGTGGTCTCATCCCATCATATTGAATAGTCCAGCGTTCGCTAGGTCGAGAAAGCTTACGGAGGAGCCTGCGTAACGAAGACCGTCAACGGCGCAGGTACTGAGGCATTCTGGTAGATCGTCTTCGTGACAGTGACCGGCGGCGGCGCTGGAGGAGCTGGAGGACAAGCGTTGTTCGGCTTATTGCGGTTGCCCTGGTTGTTTCTGCTGCCACCGTTGAGAGCGTCCAAGATGCCGGCGATGAGGTTGCCCTGTCCCGATCCTCCTCCATTCGCTCCCTTGTTCAGAGATCCAGCATTTCCAAGGTTCACCGTCTTCACTTCAACCGCGCCCGCGTTGGCACCCTCTACGTTGACGTTTCCGCTTCCATCGATGTTGATGTTTTGTCTCTTGTCGACAGCCGCGCCCTGCTTTCTCGTCAACCCAAATTCATCACCACCCTCGACGAAGTTGTCCCGCGGTATGTTGAGTGAACGCACCTGAGCGATTGATGTTAGAGTTGCCACGGCGAAGAGTAGACTATGCCTCATCGTGGGCTCGGGGGCGAAAGCTGGAGACCTTCGAGTGTCGCCAGCGTTTCTCGGTTTCGATCTTTTCCACTATTCGTATCCTTCTTTTTCACTATTTGCTTTTTCAAAGAGCGAGTTCAACAGGCCAGCCGTCGGTGAGTTCGTTGGGATCAACCCTAGGATCGAAAAGAGTGTAGTGGTTTGTGGAGTGTTCCGTAAACCTTCGCGATTACGAAAGGAAAGAGTTACGGGCAGACAGACAGCGACCTGCAGAACATGTCCAGAGTTCAATGAGATAAGACGGCCAAGACCCCTCGAGCAGTGAGAGTGATCGAGAGGGTGTGCGGGTACTAAGAAAAGACGAGAGATGTGACCAGAAATGGGTCTGAGGGGGGGTGTGAGGACAAGAGAATGTGAGAGGTGTGAATCTTGGTCAGAGACTGAATGCCGTATTTTCCGTGTCTTTCCCGCCAGGAACAGGCACGCACACACGCAGAGAGTTTGGGTAAGGAGAGCGAGAAGTAAAGGAAAGATGGGACGAAGCACCATCAAACCACAAAAACAGTCGAGCCTTGAGTTGCGGGAGCTGCAAAGATTAATCGAAAAGGGGACCACCGTCGAGAATCACGAATTGGCCCATGTCAATGCCCAGCCATGCACCATCAGATTGGCTCTTCGGCGCACCGGGTGCCAAAATGCTTGCCAATGCTTGGCCATGGCTAGCCGGGGTGGGCTTCGCCGCTTCATGGTGGACGAGCAGCCAGACAGGGCAAAAAGAAGCTGGATGGGGGCCTAGAACTGGTACGATGGACGTCTTGTCGAAGGCGACAAGTCTTCTGATTTGACTGAATCGACTCTCGATGGAGCAAGGGAGACCAGGGTTTCTGTCAGGAACACTGCAGACTCGATCAGTGCGGTTCAGGGCGGCCAAGAAACGCCAGGGGCCCGCTCCCCGCCATGCTGCATGCCCGCCTACGCAGTATGGCTCACCCCATCCATGTCCAACATTGTCGGGTCGGGCTAGGGATCGTGAAAAGGTCGATCGGAGATGGAGGCCGTGTGAAGCAAGGCGTCGTGGAGCCGCTGCAGAAGGGTCCGGGAGGGCGTCGAGAGAGGTTAGAAGCATTCCAGTCATTCCACGGCGCTGGCGAGGAAGAACCCTGGGCTGGGCTTGCTGGGGCTCAAGGGTGTGAGACATGCCCCAGACGAAGACCGTCTGAGACGGGGGGCACAGTGACAGAGCCACCAGAGCCACCCCAAACTCGCGCCAGGGCTCCGAAACTGCGAGAGCGCCAGACCTGCGAGCCACACCCTTCGGCCACTAGCCCAAGTGACAGCCAACGCAAGCCAACGCTAGCTTCTAGAGGGCAACTGCAACGATGAACCGTCGAGACTCGACTTCGACGATGGTCCATCCCATCCAATTGTGTCTGTGTCCGTGATGTGTGACGTGATGCTAGTTTGATGAGGAAGCCATGCGAGGGGCGGACATGATGCGAAAGACCGATGGCGGCTTCAAAATCTCGGTGGCCACGGGTGCCATAGGTATCCCACTTCATGATCCATCCTGGGCCCCCATCCCTCCACTGCCCAGTACACTACGTCTTGGATCTGTACGGATACACCAGCAACGAGGTATCCGTAGATGGGTGAAACAATGTTTCCCACGGGTATGCGGGAAATTCTTTTTGGCTTTCGTTCGATCCCAGCATATCGCCATCAACGACGTTGCCGCTACTGCTGGAACTGCTGCAAACGGCTTCTTTGACTCGTGTTCGTGGTGACGATCGTTGAAAATAGAACCCGCATCGCAATCACAAAAAACTCTCATTTCGTTTCCCCAGACTCTCCAAGGGCCCAGGCGGCTACCGCTGCACGAAATGCATTGCGACTGGTAGGCTTGGGAGAGGTCGTCGGGTCGGGGCCCACGACAAAACAAAAAGGTGTCAGCGCTTCATCGACACTTGGACAGGCGGGACGCACGCATTCACCTTGCCTCGCACCCACGTGATGATCAACAGCGTGGGATGGGCCTTTCAGATGGAGCATCCAGTACAGGTCGATGACAGGCGAGGTGGTCGGCGCCCATCTCTTGCTCTTGCTCTCGCTACGTGGCGAAATAGAGGGGCCAAAGACGAAAAGAAGCGCGGATACGGATGCAGATGCAGTTTTCGTAGGATGCGCGGCATTTGTGGATGACTGATGAGTGATGAGCCCATGGATGTCTTCGTCTCAACTTGCCTTTTTTCCGCATCGTCCCTTCGGACAGTAGGATGAGCCCATCGCCGAGACAGCTTCTGTCGCCAAATACGTTGCGCTTGCGTACGCAGTACAGTAAGGTAGTATCTGTAGACTAGAGCAGGCTCTTTCTCTTGCTGGAAGAAGGGAAAACGGCATTGAGACAACGAGGGTCGTCCCAAGGCGAGGAGAAAATGAACACCTTTGCTATAATCATGAGCTTTTCGTGCCTCAAGTGGCTGGGGCGACATGCGTGCTGAAGCAATGGGTCAAACGAGCGAGAGCCCGGGCGGCACGTTTGATGACATGCAGATAATGTGCGTTCTGGTGCATGCTGCAGGCGATGAACGTGCCACGGGCCAGAAGAAGACCAGGACCGTCATTAGCGGTTGGCGATGGTGATACCGGCCCAGATAATAACACGTTTTGATGAGAAATAATAAAAGACCTCTCTCCGACGTCGTGGGTGAGGTGAGTCTGTGTTGCTTTCCTGCTCGGGAACGGAATAAGGAACTGAGAGATGGCCACCTAGGTATCTCAGGACAATGGTCCCGGAACGGCAGTTGGTGTCGAGACGAGCGCTTCCCGAAGCACCGAGTTCATGTGCAGCAGTCGCAGTGAAGGTTAATGCGACTGTGCACCGACCTGAATGAGGAAGGGGGCCCCAAGACACTGTGATACATGATACCTTAGACAAACGCCCCCTTCCGACCTGTTGCTTCAATAGGATGTTGCGGTTAAGTCCAGGGATCAGCATGTCATGATCGGGAGACGGGGACGCCAGTCTCGTTCGTTTCACTCAATTCAGTGGGTAAGAGAGCCTTACAACGGTCCGAGTGCATGCTGATGTAATTCAGCCCATCCCCTCCTGCACGCAATGTGGCGGCGGCAGCTCCGAACAAGCTTAAAGACGGCGGCTATAGCCCATGGCTAATACGTATGTCTGCATTGTGGCTAGAGAATCTCGGATCTCACTCAGGTAATGTGGCTAGTACCAGTCTCTCGTACCTCCCAACGTGGCTAGAACGTGGCTAGAGACCTACATAGCAACCGGTCCTCGGTGGCCCTGCAAGTCCGATCGATGCCATAGTTCAATGTACCATCATCATACTAATTGGCCTGCATCGGTACACGGGCTCTTTCAAAGCTGAGCCAAAGCAGTGGGCCTACAGAAGTCAATGACGACAGTGTAATCCTTCTTCAACCACCAGTTGAGGCTAAGCAATGTGCAGCTACGATCATCGGGAGATTTTTTTGACGTCGTCTTCCATAGCTTCCGAAGCCCGTGATGGTGATGATAAGTTGGTTTAAGCCAGCTTGCTAAACACTCGCGTTTCTTCACATTTCTCATCCAGGCTCATCTTACAGCACCGGCGACTGTGGCCCCCGTGTGTTTCAACAAATTTCCAAGCGTCTCAGACTCTAGATCGCAGCCACAGAACAACAACAATAACTCGCATTCAAACGACACACAGAGATAGAAGGCAGCCCAAGATGGCGGTTGTATACGTCCTTGACGACTACTATCTAGCCATCACGGCTCTCATTACAGTAGCATACCAATTATTCTTCTTTTCAATAGCCTTTAGCTTCAAGTTTGACAAGCTCACCGGTAAGACCAATCCACACCCGGCCCTTCAAGGCTCATTCGATAAATCCACCAACTCACTCTACAAATGAACAATGAAAATCAAAACTAACATCTCTCACAGACTTTGCCGGCGGCACAAATTTCGTCGTCCTGGCCATAATCACCCTCGCCATCAGCGGCCACAACCATGCGCGCCAAATCGTCGCCTCCATCTTCATCATGCTCTGGGGCGCCCGCCTCTCGGCCTTCCTCCTCTTCCGCATCCTCAAGACGGGCAAGGACGACCGCTTCGATGACAAGCGCGACAAGTTCTTCCCCTTTCTCGGTTTCTGGATCTTCCAGATGATCTGGGTCTGGACCGTCTCCCTGCCCGTTACCGTCCTCAACTCGCCCAACGTCACGCGCTATCCGCAGCACGACTTTGGTACCGGTCGCGACATTGTCGGCGTCATCTTCTTCGTCGTCGGCTTCGTCATGGAGTCGGTAAGCGACGCGCAAAAGTACGTCTTCCGCAGGGACAACCCGAGCCGCGAGGCCATTTGCGACAAGGGCTTCTTCAAGCTCTCGAGGCACCCCAATTATTTCGGCGAAATCATTATTCAGTTCGGTAAGTTCACACTGCCACTCAATGCCAAGTGATACCACCTCACACAATGCCAATCTTCTCCCCCATGCTTTGTCAGCGCAACGAAGTAAATCAAAACCAACTCATGAGAGAGTCCTTGGCTAACACAGCATCCGACGTCTAGGCATCTACATGATCGCCGTCTCGGCAGCCGCCGACGGCTACGTGGGCGGCCAAGCCTTCAAGGCACTCTACGCCACCATTCTCGGCCCCTTCTTCCTGACGCTGCTCCTCATGTTCGTCTCGGGCCTGACTCTCCAGGAGCGTCCCGGCGCCAAGAAGCGCTACGAGAAAAACCAGAACTGGGAGGGCTATAAGCGCTACCTCGAGCGCACCAGCATCCTCATTCCCTTCCCGCCGCAGCTGTACGTCCGCATGCCGACGTTACTCAAGCGCACCATCTTCCTCGAGTTCCCCATGTACGTCTTCGACCCAGCCAAGCACTCCGACGCCGGGGCGCGCGCTGAGGAGGGCCAGCAGCACCAGCATGAGTCCGTTGCCAAGCCCGCGCACGGGAATGGAAGGCCGAGTGGTGAGGAGTCTCTCGTCGGACAGCGTTCGTGAGTTCTGCGAATGCCGAGGAATTAATTTGGGAAGAGAGCAGGCATATTGATGGTTTTTAATTTTCCATGTTTTGACGGCATTACGGCTTAGATGACTCTTTCTCATAGCATTCCAATTTTGGGGGATATCATAGAACCGACTAATACTACCTTCACCACCCCCAAGTTTATTAATTGTCCCAACCAAAGTACCTCTAGTGACCAGACACAAGCAAACATCATTCCCAGCACTCGTCCGACGTGACACACGCCAGTCGTATCGCTCACATCAGTGAACAATGGCCTTCAGCGTCGTCCCGCTCAGCTCACACCGCCCGTCAACCGATACCGCATCTGCCAGCGTGCCTCCGCTCCCTCGCAGGTCCGTCGGCTGATCGAGCGCCTCTTGTTGGTCGCCGTAGTCGGTATACTCTGCTTCCTCGCTGTGGTTCTCCGCGCCTTCGGGGATCGGCACCATGGCGTTCTTAGTCCAGATGTGGACGGCCGTCTTCCAGTCCAAGCCGTCGATGCAGCCGCCCTTTACGGAGACGACGTTCTTATCCTAGGTGGCCACCGAGCATTCAGTCTGCGTTCGTTTTTGGAGCCTGTTTCTGGTGTTACGGAAGGACATACCGGTGTTGCGTGGATTAGTCTGGTTCCGCAGTTGCGGCAAAAGTAACTGTCACATAACTGTCAGTTCATAGATCCCAGATTTCTGTAAGGGAGGGTGTCTACTCACCAGTAGAGCGTAGCGCCGGACGCAGTTGGCCTCCTATTTGCTCATAAGTCAGTAATTCCTATATTTCCTTCACAACTCGCAACTCGTAACTCTCTCACTCTCGCTCTCACTGTCACAACCCCCTCCCACACCTATGACTCGAACGGGTGCTCCTTTCTTCTCTTCCTGCTCTGTATGTATAATACTCACGCGTAGACACCCATCAGATCAGCCTTTGGTAGCTTAAATTTGGGGAAGATTGCAGACGTCCCGAACGCGGAACCCGTTTGCCTTTTACTAGAAACCAAAAACGGCTCAAGTCAGCATGACTGCGGCCACTAATCGGCGAAGGAGAGTATGAGAGTTGTTGAACGTGCCATTCTTCACAATGGCATATATAGAGGCGGAGAGG